GAAACAACGAATGTACAAGGTGTGTTTCAATGAAGTTCGAAAATGAAAACGTACTTTTTTGAGAAATGATTCTTGCTAAAATAAACGTTTACGGAAATAAATGAAATTTTTTGTGAAATATGAAAATGACTAACACAAAAATAAAAAAAAATCATTACTTTCTTGTGACATAAATTCACAAATTCTGTCAACACTACTGAGACAAGGCTTGTATTGTACCAGGCCATAAAACGTTATTTGTGATTTCTGGTCACATTCGTAATAACGGATAAAATAGTAATAATAGAAGTTCAATGTTAACCATTACTTTGTTGCTTCATCAAACCTTCGCCTACTTTTTTAGTATCTCTGCCCTAAATTACTGTTTATAAAAACGTACAAAACAATGAAAAAAAGTATTTTTCCAACTGCATCTTACAGAGAAATAAAACTAATTTAGAAATTGTGATAAGAAAAATAAGTCTGAAGTAACAATCTGGGATCGAAACTGGATTGTTTTTCTCTAACTCTAGATTATCTGGCTGCATTTATGAGTTAAGAAAGTTTAACCGTATACCTATAGATATAACTTGAGTAAATTATAGATTACATAACTTGAGAACGCGGTGACTAATTTCTGATTATTAAATGTGTTTTTTTTTTCGAGTGTAGCTAGCTGTAAAAAATACGTAACAAATCCTCAACGACATACTGTTATTGTTGTACATATTGTATGTACACGAGTGGAGTAGTTTTACAAATCATTGCGTGACATTCACAATCGTTCTACAAATGACCGAATCGTTAGATATCCATTTGCTTAATTTTAATATTTGCTAGCGAGTTTTCCAAATGACGCGACCAAATAACCAGTTCCTAAGAAGCTGATCGTATTGTTTAAAAGATTTCTATTAAAGTCGGATAATGCTAGTTTCATCCAGTTTTTCCTCAACACCATTCGATGATGCTTATATCATGTATTTCCTTTTGAACAATTATGTTCGCAGAAAAAGAGGTGCTAAAAACCAATAAAAAGTGTAAATGAAACTTATTAATCACTAGCTATTTTCAAAATTGAATGAACATTAACATAAATATGTGAACAACATGTTGGGAACTGTGTAAGAATGTTGTGATTTTTAATAAGTGATTTCAATCGATTAATATTACATTTTTTTTTCTTTCTTTAGTTAAGAATGTAAGATGTTCTAGTTTTATGGAAAAGCGACGATTAGTTCAGGATTAGTAATGGGTTGGGTACCCCGTTTGGATCCGCTATGTTTTTTAGGATCCGGCTGGGTACCCGGCAGTGCCGCATAATTCTACCAGAGAAAAAAAAACAACAATAATAATTTAATCAAGTATAAAACCTACCTAACAAAAATTACTAATTAAGATTTTATTGTAATAGGTCGTTTGTTCTAATATGTATTATTTATTGATTATTAAACTAAATTAATTGTTATTTCGATATCATTCTTGTG